CCAGCGGCGGAAGGTCGCGAACGGGCCGCGGACGCGACTAAATTACCTAACGCGCGCAGGGCCGCGGATCAGGCGGCTCACGACAGCGTCCAGGGAAGACGATGCAATCCAGGTGCCATGCCAGCCCCTGAACGGGCATGCAGGTGCGTCCAACAGGCCTGAGGTAGGCACCGAGACCACCAAGCGCAGCCAAAATGGCGCGAAAACGTTCCGACGTCCAAGAGCGGACAAGGGAACGACCGAGGACGCCAGCCCCAGCCTGTCGGGTAACACAGAGGTCGGGGTGGTAAGTCCAACGAGGATCCCGACGGCGGCAGCGAGCCGCGGCGTCAGCGACATCAAGGTGTATCCATGATCCGAGAAGACAACCACACCAAGACGTATCGGCCCAGACCCAACGGGTGGAAGGGCACCGGATGCACGCTCCCGTCGAAACGCGGCGTGTGCGCAGCACAGTGTCAAAACTGGTGGGGATACGCGAAGCGTCTAGAATTGCCACATATCTTATTGTTGTACACTATGATGTATCCCCCTAGCCCCCCTTGGAGTCGCGCCAGTCCGCCGTACCAAATCTGGAAGTCCTCATTCTGGGGCTCCAAACCTACAAAAACCTATGAACAAAATAAAAAATGCTATTATGTTATATATATGCACATACATACATACATACATGCATGCATGCATGCATGCATGCATACATACATACATGCATACATACATACACAAAGACATACATGCATGCATGCATGCATGCATGCATGCATGCATGCATGCATGCATGCATATATACATACATACATACATACATACATACCTATCTACCTACCTACCTACCTACCTACCTACCTACCTACATACATACATACATACATACATACATACATACATACATTCATACATGCATGCATGCATGCATGCATGCATGCATGCATGCATGCATGCATGCATGCATGCATACATACATACATACATACATACATACATACATACATACATACATGCATACACATAAAACAAAAATATGCCTCCTCGGCCTCTTGGGACTCCAAGAAGGTCCCAAAATGGCCCCAAGGCCCCAGACGGCCCCAAGACGGCCCCAGATGGTCCCAAGAGGGCCCGTGAAGCCCCCGAGACGGCCCTAGGGGGCCCTAGGAGGATTCGAAAGAGCGCGTCCAGGAGCCAAAATCATTGATTCACCATTGGTTTCTGAAAGATTGTAGCGTTCTGGCCTTTTTCAGCTCTCCGAAGACCGCGCCGGCCCAAGCAGCCTCCACGAAGACCCCAAGACGGCCCAAGAGGCCACATGAAAGACCATGGCAGCCTTAGAGGGCCCCAAAACGGTCCAATGGGGCCCCCAAGACGGCCCAAGAGGACTCCAAGAGAGCCCCAAGGCGGCCGCGAGAGCCCCCCATGAGGCCGCCAAGAAGCCCCGGGGATGGCAGGACGGAGCGGCACGCACGCGCGGCAGCCGAGCAGGTCACGCCAACCAACGCACACCTTCCACATTTGAGCACTTTCCCACAACGGCGATTACCAGTCCGGATCGGCTGCGCGGCGCCTGCTCTGCCCGCCAGCAAGTGGGGCAGAGCAAGTCTGCTTTGTCACGCTGGGAGCTGCGCACTGCTTCTCGCATAAACACTGCCGAACAAGGTCGCATTTTAAACCCTCCGAGGGAGCCCCACGACAGCCCAAAAAGCCCCAAGATGGCCAAAAGAGGCCCCCAAGACGGCCCAAGAGGCCCCCAGAAGCCCAAGAGCACCCCAAAAAAGCCCCAAGCAACCCCCCGAGTCCCTCAAGACGGCCTCCGAAGAAGCCAGACAGCGCCAGAACCCCCCAAGACAGCCCAAGACGCCCTCCAAAAGGCCCCAAAAGACTCCCAAGAGCCCCAACGCGCCCCCAAGAGCCCTCCAAAAGACACCCCAAGAAGCTCCCAGGAGGCCGCCACAACGACTGTGCTGCACGTTCTCCGGACGTGCACCCCGCGAAGCGAGAGGAATCACTGTAGCCACGGTCATCCAAGGGAAAATTATGATGCCAAGGGTTGCACTCACCAATGTAGTACAGGCGACCAGATGAGGCACCGACAAGGGTGCTCAATGTGCTCCGCCGTGTCCCAACAACTAGCTCTGATGAAGCAAGCATTTCCAGATCCACTGGCATATTCCATGTTTCACGGTCGCCGTGAGTCCCCTTTTCTGACACTCTCGAATCTTGAATTTCTTCCTTTAGCTCAGATGCAAGGTAGGCGCGCATATCCGCGGCAACAAGGACATTACACTCTGGATTAGTTAGTTTGAGCATTGAGCCTGCCATCTCAAGAGCATCTTTTTGATCTGACGCCAAAAATATATTGCAACTTGAGCCTGTATGATTCTCAAGGCGCTGGGCGACACATTGAGCAATCTTGCCTAAATTCTCTTTGGAGCAACTTGTATAATGGCATCGAATGTGCAATCCTGCATTCATTCTTCCAAGGCTTGCCTTATTCAATGAAGCACTCACTCTTGTAAGGCCATGCGGCCACAAGGCATGGAGAGCGAGGCCGTATGCATTGACACCTGGAGCTGTTAGTTGCATGAGGCGCTCATTGAAGGGGTACGGGGTTCTTCTATTCAATTGAAGATGGCCAAAGTCCCAGAAGGCAAACGTGTCCACATGTATGATATCAAAGAGCGAGAAATCTACACAGACCATGTCATGCCATTTTTCCTTCGAGCCTCCACGAGTGCTGAGGATTCCACGACTGCATGTTGGGAAGTCACCAGCACCCTGCAACTGTAAACACTCTGGAGGAAGCAACCAAGGCATGACTGTCCCCTGGCTCTCTTCCAATCCTACACCAAAAGCCGGTCGACTTATCCCAGTGATGGCAAGCGATCTGTTGAAAACCACTGCTACCAATGCGGCCGTCAATACTCTATTCAAGCAGTTTCCAGTCCCTTGCCCAGCATTGCACCACTCCACGGTGACTAGGCCGCTGATTTCGCACGTGCTCTGTAAGAATTTGCTGTGTACTTGTCGACGCGACTGAGCAAACTGTTGCGCCCAATCTTTTACCATGCTTGCAGGTGAATCAACATTATGGTCCGAAGTCACCATTGTTTCCTCATCAACAGCCACGGCTACTATGATTGAAGCAACATCACTTGCTACGGACCTCCTCCTCCTCCTCCCGCTTCTCCTCCTCCTCCTCCTCCTCCTCCTCCTCCTCCTCTCGCCCCCACGCGGGCCCTAGGGATGTGTCTCTTCGTCCCAGTTCCCATTAGCTCTCATGGGCAGGTTTTCTGAATGGGCTGATGGGGATACGCATGAAGAATTTCACGTTGGTGGGAGCGCCCGGGGCCGAATTTATGTACGGGGAGGGTCCCGATAAGAACATTCGAGAAGGAGTGTACATACACACACACACACACACACACACACACACATACACACACACACACACGATAAGGACCTCCAAGAGGCCTCCAGTCACCCGTACTCTCCATAAATCCCTCGAAAGGCTTAAAGCAGTGGTCCCTCTGGGTCTCGACGTTCTCCGCTATCCACGCTCTTCGGTTCAAGATCAGCCCGCTCGCGGTCTTCCGAGCAGGGGATCGGCTACACAACTGATTTACCCCAAAATTGATGATTTCGTCGAATCTACGAAAAAATCGTAGAATGCTCATAGATCTAGGGGACAAGTAGTTTCGACTGAAAAATCAAGCATGGGGTAAGTCAATTCTAAGTCGATCCCCTGCTCGAGTCTTAGACGGCCCAAATGGGTCCATGGAGAGCCCTGGGAGCGCCCCCAGAGAGCCCAGGGCCCCAAGGGCCCCCCAAGACTGTCGCACAGGAGCCCAAGACAGCCCCGAGACAGCCCAAAACTCCATGGGAGCTCCCCAAGAAGTGGACAAGAGAGCTGTCACATGTGCCTGACATCGGTGCTCGAAGTTTCGCCACCCAGAGTGTGGGAGGGGCGGGAAGAAAACTCCACGTCCTCGTATTGAGGAAGTGCAGAAATCGGAAGATAGGAGAGGGAGAGGGCAGAGGGGAGAGCTCGAGCTAGGCGCGCTCGCGCCGTGCCTGAGATCCTACCCCTCCCACCCATGCCTTCCCATTGCGTTGCTGTTTCTCTATCGGTGGACCTGGAACTCCAAAGAGACCCCCTATCGCGTTACGTGCAATCGGAAAAACAAGGGAGCTGTGTACATTGGAGGAGGAGGTGGCGGATGAGCAGCAGATGACCACGAGGAAAAGTAGGAGAAGAAGGAGGAGGACGAGTTGGAGTGAAAGGAGCGGGAGGTGCAGGATGATCAGAGGAACGCGGAGGAGGGGGAAATGAGGGAGGCGACAATGATGCAAAAGGACTGGGATCCAGAAAAGTGGCCCGCGTTGGGGCGGGAGCGCCATTCTGAACGATGGGAGCTAAACGCAGATCCAAAAATGAGGCCCACGCTGCAGCGGGAGCACCATTTCCAAACACTCAAAACACAACTTTGGAACACCCAAGAACAAACAACGTTTGAGATCCAGTGTAGAAGAAAGAATACGCGGAGAGGGCCAGCTAGCTTCTAGACAGAGTCAGGGGAGACGAGAGAGTAATACTGATATAATGTACAACTGTGGACAAAGGGAAGACAAGGGATCGGGGAGGAGGGAGGGATTGCTGTCAACGCCCCCCCGACCTCTCCTTACACTCCCTTCCCCTCTGCTGCGCCCCTTCCTCCCCATCTTCCCCTTCCTCTCCCCCTGCTTCCCCTCCTTCCCCGCCGGTCCCCTTCACCCCCCACCCCCTCCTCTCTCCTGCCCCCCTTTCCTCAATGCCCCAATCTGCCCTCCTTCCTCCTTGTCGCACGGGTCTCCAGAGGTCCGCAGACGTCCGCGCAGAAGTCTCACAGGTTTCAGAAGCCTCCGGAACCCTGAGGACGCCCCCAGAGGGCACAAAACGTCCAGAAGCGCCTCGATCCTCAGTACTCGCTAATTACCCCCGCCCACCCTGCCCAGCGCCCTGTCTGCGCCTGTCTGTCCAAGCCGGTCTTCTGGCCCTTTTTGTACACCTTGTTCTTCTTGGGCTCCTCGCGCCTCCTAAGGCGCTCGGCCTGACCGGAACCGCCGTGGAGGTGGGGGGCTGGGAGGGACTGTGGCTGCGGCTGTGGCCCGGGGATGAACGGCTGCGGCTGCGGCTGCGGCTGCGGCTGCGGCTGGTCCCAGGGTTCCGCAGCCCCCCCCCTCCAGCAGATGGGATGTGGGGACGACGACGACGACGACGACGACGACGACGACGACGACGACGACGGCGATGGCGACGGCACCACAGCACCACCCCACACCCACAGGGGAGGGGCGGGGACACCAGCACCCCCTTTCCCACGCCCACAGGGCCACGACCACAGGGTGGAGGAGGGGGGCCGATCCTATTCGCGAAGCCTGGGGCATTCGCGAGGCCCACGGGCGTACCCATCCAGCGGGGCGGGAGGGGGCCCGATACCATTAGCATTGGGGGGTGGGGCCGAGCTGCGGATCACAGATGCACGTGCGAGGAATCCGCTGGCCGCATGTTCGACGACCCCACCTGGGGCGTACAAGCATGAATCGATGCGCCAAATGTACATTCGACACACCCCTCTTGGCGCCTACACTCTCGAAGACACGTGCGCCAAATGCACACGTGCTAGATGTGTGCTCGACACAACCCACCCCCAGGCAGGAGTGCACACGCGTGAACGGTCCGACGGGCGCCTCTGCGATGCACCCGTGGGGGCCCTGGCGTCTATACTCACGCGCACACACGTATGACATGCACGCCGAGGCGAATGCTCGATGATCCGCGTTGGCGCCTCCTCCTCCTCCTCCTCCTCCTCCTCCTCCTCCTCCTCCTCCTCCTCCTCCTCCTCCTCCTCCTCCTCCTCCTCCTCCTCCTCCTCCTCCTCCTCCTCCTCCTCCTCCTCCTCCTCCTCCTCCTCCTCCTCCTCCTCCTCCTCCTCCTCCTCCTCCTCCTCCTCCTCCTCCTCCTCCTCCTCCTCCTCCTCCTCCTCCTCCTCCTCCTCCTCCTCCTCCTCCTCCTCCTCCTCCTCCTCCCTCTCCACCCCCTGGGGCACGCACGTCACCCTTCTTTACATCCGTCCAGTCTGGGGCCAAAGGCCCGACGGACGAAGAGAATCCTGGGCCAGCCCTGACCAAGGAGACCTCCAGGACCCCATGCTCTCCAGGACGGGATGCGTCTGGACCAGAATCTCGAAGCGAATTCAACCGCGGCGACAAGGGGACTCAAGGAGGCCCAAAGACATCCAAGACGTCCAAAAAACCTCGACGCTCGATCCCTTCAGGACTCCCGTCGGCCCCGCAGGCGCCGCCACCCCACAGGGGACGCTCTGACAGGGGCCAGCGTTGACCCGGGTCAGCCAAGGCCACGTCATGTCCCGAACCAGGGCTGGCAACGGAGCAGTTCCACAACCCAGGCCAGCGGAAGGCGGGGAGGGGGAAGGGGGCTCCACGTGATGCGCCAGCCATTGGGGATCCGAGAGGAAACCGGCCAGGCACCGTCGGCGCTGACCCCGACGACTGCGCGCGCGACGGCCCGGTCGCTCGCCTCGGCCCGCAGGTTCTGGGGCGGCAGGGGAACGGGCTCCTGGGGGTCGGGGGAACGTTGGAGGAGCAGGCAGAAGCAGGAGGGAGGAGAGGCAGGAGAGGCAGGGGAGGCAGGAGAGGCAGGATGGAGGAGCGAGGAGCGAGGGAGGTGCTCGGCGGTTTTCGAAGGGGTCCGAGGGCTCTCGGGCGGGTTCTGGGGGGGGGCGGCCGCGGGTCCCCGCAGGCTCCCGACTGCTATCGGGAGCTTTCGACGGGCCTGAAGGTTTCCAATGAACGCCAAGGGTCTCCAACGTGAGGGGCGAGAGGCAAAGGGCGAGGAGGCCGGAGCGAGGAGAGAGGAGGGAGGTAAGAGGGGGAGGGAGGAGGGGAAGGGAGGAGGGAGAAGACGGAGACAGGAGCAGAAAAACATGGTCGACCATCGAATCCTGAAAGTTATATAGCAATGCGAAGCATGATAACTTGTTCAAGACATCTGACTGGGCGACGGGCAATTGCAATGCTGAAGGTATCGATGGTGATGTACCACGCCAGGGACTGTGCCGCGCTGAATGGAGATGCGGCATGCCGAACTAGACTGAACTGCATTGCCACATGGGCCAAGCAGACCTTAGATTCCGAACCCTGACCGACGCAAACTGGATGTTCAGCTCGAGCTGCCTGAAAGCATAGATCGCCCAGAGATGGTTGCAATCGAAACGTGGGGGGCGGTCAACAGGTCGAGCTCAAAATCCGATTCGGTCCCGAAGCGGGACGACCCGACAAAGGGCCGACGCGCAGGCGGCCCGGGGGCCCACTTCCGGGGGCACGAAGTCCCGTGCCAAGCGCGCGGTTTCGTCGAACCTAACAGCGAATGGCCGCGCAGCCCGGCACGCGGACCTCCACAGGGGCGCGTCCTCGCCCGCGCGCGCACTGCGCCATTGCACAGAAGATGAGCTGGACGCCGAATCGTCGCCGCAGTCGGTGCCCGAAGACGAGCCGCCCTCGACTGCCACGGGGCAGGCAGGGGGCGGCGCCGCGGCGAACGGCGCCGCGTCGCGCTCGCGGCCGCGCGATCGAACGCGCGCCGCGGGGCGGCTCGCCGCCGACATTAAACGCGTCACCAAGCGCCGATGCCGAGGCGACAGCCAGTCGATGCCCGCCACGCCCGATTCTTCGACGTCGCGAAAGTCCGCCAGACCCTTCGCGACGGCCGCAAACAGCGATTCACGGGCGCCAACGAGGCGACGCGGCGCTGCGTCTGGCGCCACCGCCCGCGCGCTCGCGAGGAACTTCGACCGCTGCGACCTCGCGGCGCGCCGCCCTCTGGCGCGCGCCGCAGGGGGGGAGGGCGCGGTTACGCGCGCGCGCGACTTCATTGCGACCTGTCCCCACTCCCACTGCACTTGCTAGCTCCGCCCCCCTCGCGGGCCCCCGATCGAGTGCCAGCAAGTGCCGGCCTGCGCGCGGGCACGCCTGGGCGTGGATCGAAGCGACGCTGACGCGACGCGCGCAGACAACGTTGCCCCCCGCGCGCTCACAGCGGCCGTCGTGGGCCGCGACCCGCTAGGGGCCACCGACAAAGAAGGCCGGGTCGAGGGCCGCCCGCACTTCGCGCACGTGCATGGCTGCCACGAGCTGGAAGCACCCCCTGCTCGGCGGGCCCGCAACGTCGGGCGCGCTCGGGACGCGGTGCACAATCAAATATAAGCGCAAACGAAAAGACGCGGCCCAGACGCAAAGGGTCGCCCCGCTGCGATCGCACGCGGAAGCCCGTTCCTTGCGCAAAGCTCCATCGGCACACCTACTGTCGGAGTAAACGCGCACCCTGCGCCCCTCGAGCCACGGCGCAGAGCTGGCGACGCCGAGGGCCAGAGACATCATCTCTATGTCAGAGATCCGGCGATGCTTGCGCGCCTGAAACGCGCACAACATATCCTGGCCTACCGCCTTGCGGCAGGAAAACGCGCAGCCATCGAGGAACTGCACTGCAGCGACGCGCGGGGACTCTCCCCGGGCGTCGGCGAAGAGCCGCCGACCGCCCCTCCGGCGGGCGCCACGCACGCTTCTCGACGACAGCGCGCTCGAGCACATGGCGCCACGACTCGCGCGCGCTCTGCGCTTCGGCCGACAGCCGCCGACCGCGGACGCCTCTCTGGGGGCGGGCGAAGACAGGCGACACCATCGCGCGCCCCGGCCTGCCGAACAAATTGCCGGACGCCCACGCGAGCGCCCCCGCGAGCTTGCTGGCTGCGCCGTGGGGCACATGGCCCGCGCAGAGGGCCTCGCCGAGCCGCTCCCTCTTCTCGGGCAGAGGGGCGCGCCGCGTGCCCAACGTATCCAACGAAACGCTGAGCCCCAGCACCGGAAGTGAGTTACCGCGCTCCATTTTGGCCTCGGCGACCGCGCTTTCGCCGAAAAGGATGCGCGCGAGCCGCGCGAACGAGTCCATCGCGCGCCGCGCGCACTCCTCGAGCTCGGGACTAAAGTAGTCGCCCACATACCGGGGAGGCGGGGCAAGTAAGGGGCGGCGCGGCACGAACGCGAGAAAGTGGCACACTCGGCCCCAGCCGTGGACAGAGCCCTCGCCACCGAACGGGATAGCACGACGGCGAGCCGCGAACGCGCCGTCGCAGCACAGGGAAACAACCCACGCCGCCCACTAGTTGCTGGGGGCCAGTGGGACGCGCCTGCACGCCGCGTCGACAGCGGCTTTGAACAGCGCGCGGCACTTTACCCGACGCCCAGTGAAGAAGCTCTTCGACTGCGGAGAGGTGATCGATTCCCTCGCGCGCAGCTTCTCGACAGGGCGGCACGTCGCAACAATGCTGCTGCTGGACAGATCGTCGACCAGGCGTAGCTTGATCTTGCCCCCCATGCGCAGCTGCTCGACAGCGAAACGCAGGGGCAAGATGACGCGCGAGAGATCGATGCTGCTCGCAGGTACTGGCTCCAAGATGCGTCGGCCACCGCCTGCTCAAAAATCGCATCGGCGTGCGCGTCGAGATCGAGAGACGCGAGCAACGCGGCGTTGCGGTCCAGCGTCGGCCCCAGAAGCGCGCTGGCGTCCACATGCCCTTTCTTCTTGGGCGGATTCGCGCGCCCGTGCCCAGGCGCAGGCAGGTCGCCCGAGATTCGCACCCCCTCGCGGAACAGATTGACGCCCCCGGGGTCGCGATAGTGCAACTCAGAAGCGAATACCCCGCACAGAGCGCCGTCGACCGCGGCGGCGACGCGCCGCGCGGCGCCATCGGCCCCCTAGAACCAAGCCTCGACACGGCCCGAGGCCACAAATTGCTGAGCCCGGCGCGCTAGCTGCTCCAGCGCGCGCCCCCGCTCGCGCGCATTAAGGCGCGGCGGCGGCGCGGTCGCCCACGCGACGGCCTCTTGAATGAACGCGTCGAGCACAGCCGGCTTCTCGAAGAAACTGGCATCGCGCGCAGGGTCGTAAAAAATGCCGACCGCGCCGAAAGTGACATCAAATTTGGCGCTCTCCCCGAGCGCCGCCGCCGCTTCGCCGCGGCTCGCGCGAGGGTGCAAGTCCCACGCTAGCGGGAGAGAACGCGAATTAATGTCAGATGCCTGCAGGTCGCGCGGCCCCGCCCCGGGCGCCCAGGCGCTGCGCCGCGACGAACGACGCGCCGCAGGCGCCGCAAATGCAGGCGCATCTGGCACGGGGAAGCCCGCGCGCGTCGCGCCGTCGAGGGCAGCCGCGCCCTGCGATCGGGCAACGACGCGACGACGTGGGAACGCCCGCCGGCGCGCGTCCGCCGCGCGCGCCCAGCGCGGCGGCCCCGGGGCGCCTGGCCCCGGGGAAGCGCCACGGCGAGTCCCGGGACTGCACGCGCGCGCCGCGCGCAACGGAGCCTGGCGCGTCGGGGGCGCGCGCGCCTCGATTTCACATCATGATGAACTGCTGCGCGGGTAGACCCGCGCTCGCGGCATAGTCGCGCGGCGGGCGCGCCCGCCGCTCGTCGCGAGCGCCCGAGTTCGCGCGAGCGCAGCTGCGCATGCGGAGGGGCCGCGCCTCGCTGGACGCACGACGAAACGCGGTCGCCGACGGGGCACTGGGGCCGCCACTTGTCTGCGCGCGCCACTCGCGAAGGCGGCCCGCCTGGACGCGCGCGCAGACCGAAGGCGCGCGCGCCTGCGCTTTCAAGCGCCGGGGGCTCGCGCCGCGCGGCGCCAGCGCGCGCTAGGCGCGGGGTCTGCGGCTGCCTGTCGTCGCGCTCTCCATCGTCGCGCGGGCGCTCCTTGCCAGCGCCCTTCGAGTCGCCCTTCTTCGCGCCCTTGCCCGAGCCCGCATCAAACGAGCCCTCGCCGCCTTTCCAGCCGCCCTTGCCGCCGCGGCGGCGACCGCCCCTTCCGCCGCGCTTGCCGCAGCCGCCGGGCGCCGACGACTGGCGGCCACGCGCCGCCGCCTCGGCGCCCACGCGCGCCTGCTCATCGAGGGCCAGCTGGAGGCGGCGCTCCTCGACGGACCACGCCGCTTCCGGGAGCTCGAAGGACGGGCCCCCCGAGCGAGCGCGCCCGGCGCAAGTCTCCCCGACGGCGGCCTCATCGCAGCAGACGCCGAGCTGGGCCCGTCTCCGATGGACGTTGGCCTTGCGAGCGCGCGCGCGAGCGCGAGCGGGCGCCCGGTCGCAGACACGCCTACGCCGCGACGAGCATAACGTTTCCCCGGCGAGCCCGGGCGGCCGCTAGCGACAACTGACTGTTGATGGCCGCGGCCATTTCGCAACGGGCGGCGGCCGGCCGGCGGAAGGGCGGCGCGAAGCGCAAAACGTCGCGCCGGATCCAAGCGATTTTCCACTGCGCCAGGGTCAGCGGCTGCTTCCATTTCGGAACAGGGCCGCCGCGGATCGCCTGCCAGGCACCGCGCGCGCGCGCGGTCGCAACGTGCGCACGCCGCGAACTTGAGCGCACTGCGGCCAAAGCACGCGTCGGATCTGCACGGGTGGAGCCCACCCCCTGGCCCGCGAGCGAAGCAATCGCGGGGCCCGCTCGGCGCGGACCCGGCCGGCTACGCGCTGGCGCGCTGCGTCGCCGCGCGCGGGGCGC